TAAAATGTAAGAGAGTAGAACAGTTTTTGAGATATAGCTGAATTTCGGGTTTTGAGATCTGAAAAAAGTTCACTAAAATTTCATACAGAATAGAACCTTAAGATGGATATTAAGTAGAAGATGAAGGTGGAGATTAAGATGAATTAAAAAATTAAGATGAAGGTGATGGGGATGAAGGCGATGAGCGTGAAGATAAGAGATGAAGATGGAGATGAAGACTACAATGTAGAAAAGAAAGAAACAGATAAATATGAGATAAATATATATCGAAAAGAGAAATATATATAGAAACATAAAAACAAGTAATAAATATAAGTATTCTTCTCCTTATTTAACACTACAACCGTTTGTCGGTTCGGGCGGAGACCAAAAACCTTCGCCGATTGCCTCTCTCCTTTGCAAATTTTCGCCAGGTGCCCATCCCGAGTGCTGAGAGGTGCTTCTGCACTTGGTGCTGACATTTCGTTCCTGCGCGACCTTGCTTTCCTTGTTCACCCATGGGTGCCGAGTCGAAGGCTATTTTCATTGGAGCATCGTTAGAGAATAGTTCTCTCGCAAGCACCCAAAGCCTTCTCATCTCTGTAAATCTCTGTAATCTATGTAAGTAGTTTTCCATGAAAAAGGAAAATAAAAACAAAGTTCCTGTTAAAAAATACCACTAAAAATGTATGCTAGGAAATATTTTACAAACTGCTACCTTTCGGAAATTTTGCTATCGAGTTATGTTAACTGTAAGCTTTAAAGGAATTTTTCTCGACTTTTGCAGCAAATGTGCGATATTATTTAAAAGAAAACAATTATTGGCGTGCAACATTTTTCCACAGTATCCTTAACACATTTACATATCGACGGCTGAGTAGAAGATCGACCTATCTCGGCAGCCGGTTCGAAAACACGCTATCTCAGAAAACTCTTCAAGAACGCCCTACTTCATAATTTAAGTGAACAACGGTCTATCTTAGAGCTCGGTTCAAAAATGCCCAATCTCAACTGAAAATATATTGAAAATATGTCGTGTTTTATTACATTTATAGGAGGTTTTTGAATTCTTGATTTTTCAAGTATCGAATAAACCGATTTTTTTTTATCGAACAAGCCTGTCTTTTCATTTCATTCAAATGCTGACCTCTCAATAAAAGTTCTGAGTGTTTCGAAGTTTTCAAGGCTTTTTCCAGTTTAAAGGAAATTCCTAAATAGCTTTAAAATTATATCCTAGCTTATTTGGGGATGAACAGTATAACATTTTTGACACAAATGGAGAGATCTACACTATTACTCCCCCTCCGAAGAAGCGAAGTTTTTTTATGGCGGAAGTACGCTCGGAGGTTTGTCATTGTCTGCCGAGGGGATCAGAAATTGAACCATGGACCACCCGAGTGGCAGTAAGCACCTCTAAGCACTCGGCTACGTCGGCAAGAACACTAGTCAAATCCGAAAAAAGTCAGAAAAAAAAGCAATGAAGTATTAAAAAAGTTAAAAAAAGACCAAACGTGAATTTTACATTTATGTATTTCTATTTGTTTTTCTTTTGAACCTAAAAATAACTTATTGAACTAACGAAACCGCAGCCTCACACAAGATACAACAAATACAAAAAAGCGCGAATATCCATATTATGAGTATTTAACATTCAAAGAAAATTGTGAATGAAATCATTCCGAAAAGTACATTTCCTTACCTTAATTCACGAAGTTTTTTATATTGTAGTTACAGGAGAAACAAAAAAACATTGGCTGCATTTCTTTATTCATTCTGAACGTTTGGAATAAACTTTTTTGTTTACTTATTCTTTAGAACCAAGGCGAATTAATATAAGGTGATAGCAGGAGTACAAAAACAAAAATTTACATGTATTTTGTTTTTGCTTTGGCGGCATAAACTGTCAAAATCTGTAATAGTGTGTGTAGAAATTCAAACAAAATTTTTCAAATTGATATCAGAAGCCGTGCGGCGAAACACATACACAAAATCAGCTGAGCTATTAACACCACCTTATATAAATTCGCCTTGTTTAGAACGTTCCTGATGATATGTTAACGTATATTTCAAAGGCATTCTGTTTATTCCCGCTGTGAAATGGGATTATCCGGAATGTATAAAGAAACGCAGCCATTATAAAAAATATATCAAAAATAGGTAAGGCTTTATAAAAAAAGGCAGGTAACTCCGCTTTTTTTGGTACAAACACTTTGAAATTTTTACTGAAAGAGTATTTTAATTTATCCGACCAATATCTGCGAAAAACGCAGTTTCGAAAAATGTGTTCGCTATGGAATTTGTGAATTAAAGTAATGATTTGAAAAGGAGAAATTCGACTGTTTTACATGTGAAATCATTTTGTAAAATACTACACTCTGTTTTTAACTGTTGACTAACTTCTCACGTGGATTTTGAAAAGCAAAAAAAACTTCAATAGGATTTTTTGCGTTTTGGAATTTTTATTGAAAATAAGGTACGAAAGAATGCAGCAATACATTTAAATATTGACATCATGGTTGAACATAAATAATATGTACATATATAACATTTAATTTAAGTTTCGGTTTATTCATAATAAGTTTTGTATTTATAAGTACTTATTAACAGGATTAAAATTCATGACTATCAACTAGTGTACATACATACATACATATTTAAATATATAATAACTAAATATTTCGCCTAGGATTCAAAAGGCAAAGTGAATAATTACACACCTGGTTTTCATGCAAAAAAAAATACTAGATTTTTACGATCGAAAAATATTAATTTTAAAAATTCTTTACCATTTCTACAAAAGGTCTGTTTTTTCCCATGTAAAATACATAGAAAACTTTGAGCGCTTTGGGCGACCTCTAAATATCCTTTGATTTCAAAATTAAAAAATAAGGGTATATTTTTTTAATATAGAACAATTCTAGGGGGTGAAAGCATTAAAATTTCGAACATACTTATTTTCAGTTTGTTTCCTACATCAAAATCGGAGTATTTTTTGCCTCACGAAATAATGCATTCACCTTGGCTATTGCTCCTCTAATATGGGTTGTTTACTGCACGCGGTTTTTTATGCCTGGTTCCGAACAAAAGATTGCTTGAATCGAAAGCGTGGGGCCGGAGATATAATAATATTAATAATAAGATGATAAGTTGGGTACATATGTTAGTGTTTGGCCGAGCTTCTCCTCCGATTTGTGGTGTGCGCTTTGATGTTGGCATACCTACAGTTTTACGCCGACTACGAACGGTGATTGTATTTTTATGAGAAGCTGTTTTCTTTATTTGTTTGCGATGCTGCTTTGACCAGGGATTGAACCCAGACCCTGCGGAGTGGTAGCGCGCACTGCTAACTACAACACAACAGCGGCCACCATATATGTATGGCCGAGTATATATGTATGTATGTATTTATATGTATGTATGTAATGTATCATGCATGATTCCTATTTTTAACAACTTCAGTGCAAAATTAAAACTACTAGTGCTTAAGTGCTTCAAGTAATTCTATCTGTATTCAATACCCCCTTGCGAATGTATATGCATATGTATTTATCTACCATGCGATTTTACTAAAACCAAGTGCCTACGTTTCATATTCATATTGGATGTGCCAACTGAAGTGAAGAGTCTCTGAATTGATCCGACATTGTCCTTGTTTGTTTACTACAATTTAAGTCTATTTCCGAAGACACCTAGTACCTGTAAAATATGTAGGGGTGAAAACTGGTATCTTGCCGATTTTTTGCATGGCGGCCAATTCTGCTTGAATACTATGAGGCTAGTCACAACCTGACCTGAACGCTGACCTATTTCGCAGCTCACAATTGTATCCATACGTGGCAATCAAATCCCAAAAGGATTTTCCTCCATCTCATCACAATTTTTGGAGAAACCGAAATATGTATTCACGAGTAACCTAAATATGGACGTTTCTCAACGTTATGATTTTAGTTTAATTTGGTATCTAGAATTACTCACAGATTTTTCCCGTTGGACGATAGGAGAATTACCTTCCCGCCTATGGATGGAAGTCTAAATTGGGGTATCTTATTCTTATTAGTAAACAGTAACAACTCAGTTTTGCTTGAATTTACGTTAAGGCCGCTGCCTTTAACCCACGTGTGTAGTCTACCCAGTGCCTTTTCTAGAATTTCACTTACAGTAGAAATAAAAGGTACCGTGACTGCTATCACTACATTGTCACCATACGTCACTACTTTAACTCCTCCTTTATTGAGTTCTAGCAGTACAGTGGTTAGTGCTACTACCCACAACAGTGGGGAGAGTACACCACCCTGAGGGGTACCTCTACGCACATATTTAGTTATTAGACTATTTCCTCTTTTCGCCTGGATAATTCTGTTTTCCAGCATGGAGCGTACCCAACCAACCACACCGCCGCCAACACCAACCCCCACGACAAATAGGTAGTGAGTGTCGATCCTTTTCTCGCGGGTCTTTTCCAAGATTTGGCATATTGAGAGTACCTGGTCTATGGTAGATTTGCCAGGCCAAAAGCCACACTGATAAGGCCCAATCAGTTCATTGACGGTGGGCTTCGGTCTTTCACACAATACGCACGATAAGACCTTGTAACCTATGCTTAGAAGGCTGATCCCGCTGTAGTTGTCATAGTCAGGCGGTGGAACATCGTCTCATCCTAAGAACAATGGATGATCATGACGATTTTAATTTTTGTTATAATAAGCATTACTTATACATATACATATGTAGGCAGATAAAACTTTATGACTACATAAAAAATAGCATCAACGACTTTAAATGGAATTTATATTTTTTACACTCTTAACATTATGCGTATATGTATGTAGGTATGTATGTATGTAAGTACAAATATATATAAACCAAGCGATAAAGAGCATTTAAGTAAATCAAGTTACATTTATGATAAATTTTAAGAGGCACTCTATGTAGTGATGCAAATACATACGTATGTACATTTATAAAATTAGTGTTAGTCATATTATGATATACAAATGTATGTATGTGGCTTGAGTTGTGGATTCAATAAAATACGTCTAAAGGCTTAAATTTGTGGAAAAATAACTAATTGAAGATAACTTCCGATATGCATAAAACTCACAATTCTTTTTTTTTCTAATGCTACATAATTTTTATGAATTTCTGTTTTTACAAATACGAACTAAAAATGTATAATGTTAATTGACAATACATTTATTATGACTAAGCATAATCACGCACCGGTGATAAACAGATGCGCTTGCTGTTGATATATTTAAAAATGCGGCTTCATCCGTGCGTAGACAATGAATGGCGCTACAGTTGACAGTAGGGACAACAAAATATTTGCCATTATTTGTAGTGAAGCTATGGAAGATAAAATATTATTGATAAATAGAATATTGGAAGATCTAAAAATATTCAATGAATAGGTACATATCGTTACTCAAGGTGAAAAGGTGCTAAGTCCATTTTTTGAAATTGTTCAGTTGAGACGAAAAACCGTCTTAACTGTGTATTATCTGGCATTTCGCATCGAAAATTCAAAATTGGAAAAAGGGGTTTTAGCATCTTTTTACCATTATGTGGCGATATATACATGGTGGTGCAAAAGGAATGTCATAATGTGAATTATGAAGTCTATTTAAAAGTTAATTTGAAGATTTAAAATTTATGAAATTAAGGTAAATAAAATTATAGTTTAAATAACTAAAACCTCTCTATCGGCCTACAATATATGTAGATGTCAAAGAACAATGACTTTTGACTAAATTTGTAAAAATTAAGACACATTCACATTATGAAATTATTTTTGCGCCACCTTGAATATGTATATCGTCGTTTAAAGTACAAAACCGCGTATCAACAAAATGCAAAACCGCGTATGAGAGGTTGCATAAATTATTTTCCAGAGAGCAAAAACACTCATATTTCAAAATGGTTCTCTTTTTTATAAAGCAAACGCATTTCTGGCTAGTATATTTCAGGACGAATGGATAAGGATTGAGCCAGGATCTTGTGTGAATAAATCCAGTTTTTGGCAGCCATTGTCAGTTACGCGGTTTTGCAGAATGACGATACGCGGTTTTGTACTTTAAACGAAGATATATAAAATCTCTTACTTACCGCCACTGCAAATATCCTTCAAAACATCTTCGAAATATCCATTTTCATTGTCGCAGAGGCAAATCTTAGTTTTGGAAATGAATTTAGCCACACCAATTGTGCGATTGACACTTTCAAAATGACAAACCAAACCATCTTCACACTCGTTGCTGCTGGTGCATTTGTGGCGCAAACCTGGAAATACAAATACAAGAAAAAAATTTTACCAGCGAATGATGTGTCAAAAGACTTTGTGAGAACGGAAAAATATTTTTTTTTTTATTTATATATACATAACATGAACTGTACGATGACAAGTTAATAAATGACTTAACTGATTACTTTGAGACGCAAGTTACCAAAAGGGTTTTTCAATAAGCATGGGTCGATGTTGAACTATTTTTTTTTTTTTTTATTTACGAGGCTTAAATTCACTGGGTTGTGTTGAATTGAATAGCATCGGTGTCTTGCGTCTTATCGGCATAAAGCAGCGACTGCAGAAAACTCTACAAAAAACGGTTTGCTGGGTCAAATTGCACGATCTTGTAGACTACATCGCAGAATATTGTTGTTTACCCCGGTGGGCGAGCATCTAACCCCGATCTGCATTAAAGAGAGACTCTTCAACATCTCCCGCACAGTGGTACAATCCCAAGTATTTTTTTTTGGAAAAAATTAGAAATAATCGGCGCAGAAGCTCTATTTTCCATATGTAATATTTATGGACACAAATCAAGAAAAAAACGAAAAATTGGCGTAATCGATTTATTTTAAAATATACCAACCGTATTAACCTAATCTCAGAAACCTCTTAAAAATACCATAAAAATCACACCAATGAATGTATGATTCCAAATTTGGTCCATATATTTTTAATAATATTATGTGTGAATCTCCAAAAATTAGGCGTAATCGGTTTATTTCAAAGCATGCAAACCTAACCTCAAAACGCATTAAAAGAGCCGTACAATGCGGACGGCTGAATATATCGTTTCGAAGTTTGACCTATGTTAGTAATAATATTATAACTAAACTCCCAAAAAACGAGAGTAAAGGTTTTATTTTAACACATACCTCCAATGGAAACTTAACACCAGAAGCGCCTAAAAAATAACATAAATGCCATCCCTACTATATGAGGTTAAGTTAAAAATCGCAAATACGCGCCAATTGTTTTTTCAGAAATCGATAGAAAATGTTCCGGTCTTACATTCTTTCACAGATAAGAATGCGAAGGAAGAAAAAGGAAATACAACTTTTGTCCATCAAAAATGTCAAAAACTTAGTATTTATATATTGTCATTTTTGTCTGCTTATATTTATTAAAATATTTCATTGATTGCCCCGATTTTTTGTTTTTTAGTTTTGTCTAAATAGCAAGTGTTTATTCACATGAACATACAAGGAAGAGATCTTTGGATCAACCGTCGGAAAATTCAGTATTCACGAAGAAACGGACTAAGGCTGACCGACTTCACCATGGCCCGAAATATGATTGTATGTAGTACTAGGTTCCAGCACAAAAATTTCCATCGACTGTCTCCACCTCAAAATTCGAAAAGTCTAATGTATCATTTTGTGATAGATGCAAGGCATGCTTTCAGTGTTTTGGACGTACATACACTCCGAGGGCCAAACATCAACTCGGGCCAATTGTAGTCAAAATGCGCACCTGCCTCTGTGCAGTAAGAAAAGTGTGTCCAACAAAGCAACGAACCAACTATCGCGGCCTCATGTTACTTATTATAAGTCGCAAGGTCTTATTCAGCGTATTATGTGATAGACTGAAGCCGACTATTAACGAAGTCATTAGGCCTTATCAATGTGGCTTTAGATACCACACGAGGTTTAAGACAACTGACTCCCTTTCGCTTCATTTCTTTAATCTAATGTAGAAAAGTGCGTTTACAAAATCAAGGTGCAAAAAAACTAGTAGATGAAACAAATAATTAAAATCATCTTGAACCTATTCTGCTGAACCGGAGTGTATAGTACCTAATTTTGTAATATTATGAGACAGCATCTTATGACTATGTACGTACGTATGTAGTCACTTCATTTCACTTGTCCACTCATATTTGCAACAGAAGGCAGCACTCTTTAACATCTAAGCAAATAACTGAAACTGTCAATAACAAAGTAAATAGAAACAAAGCTCAAGAAAAGTAAATAAGGAGCTAAACTGGGATGATGCTATTGTTTGACTTTCATTTAGCATGGAAAAAGTAACTGAAGCCTAGATTCACGTAAAATCTAATCGCAAAAATAAATGAGTACCTAGTGCAAGAAATCCTTGAAGGAAAGAAGCAAGTTGTATTTACAAGCTCATTAAGTTCCGTGAATCTTTAAATTGTATGCATAGTTAGTGTTGCTTTTTTTACATAGCTTAGGTACGAATGTAGTGCATAGCTATAGCACAACATACTATTCTTAAAAACAATTTGTAGTGTTAAAATGAAAAAAAAAAAACATACTAAGGGTGCAGAAATACGAAACGTATGCCCATGCAGTACAAATAATACCAAGAAAATAATTTTTATACTCGTATCATCTGTAATGTTGATTGGTGCTGAAATTATTGCTGCAATAAAGCAATTAAATGAGCGTTGCACACGCATATTGAAATGTTATTAAGACACAAAATAGAAATAACTGAAACTGTGATATTTACTTTGCATATGTAGCACAAATCAACGACGGATGCTTGCATGCCGAGGAATTTCATGCAACTAAGCACGAAGCAGCAGTGAAAAAGTGTTACATTGTGTTTACAAATTATAAGGCAACCTATATGTATGTAGAAGAATATTTTCTTTTATTTGTGTGCTGTGTATTGTATACAGTATCGATCATGTCTATAGCACGCCATTTCAAAGTGACATTGTGTGCCACTTATGTTTATTTATTTATTTTTAAGAATTTTCAATTAAAATACAGTTATTTCTATAACAAAACCCATATAAACACAAGTTTAACAATTTGTAGAAAACTGCAAAAAAGTGCAACAAATTTTCACCTAAATTTCAAACTTTTTTCTCGGAAGTGTTAGAATTTTTTTGAGTGCACAGTTTTATAGCCCAATCAATTTTAGTCTGATAATGTGCAAGTTTCAAGTGGCTAAAAGTTACCGTTGATTTTTAGAATTTGGGTGTTGAGGTTATCTTCCATATACAAATAAATTGAGTTTATTCATTATATGGAAGCGACAAAAAAATTCTAAAAAATTAACGGTAATTCGTAGCCACTTGAAATTAGCACATTATCAGACTAAAAAACTGTGTACTCAAAAAAATTCTAACATTTCCGAAAAAAAAGTTTGAAATGTAGTAGAATATTTGTTGCACTTTTTTGTAGTTTTCTACAAATTGTTAAACTTGAATATATATGGGGTTTGTCAGAGAATGAACTACATTTTAATTGAAAATTCTTAAAAATAAATAAATAAACATAAGTGGCACACAATATCACTTTGAAATGGCGTGCTATAGATATGACCGATACTGTATATACATATGTAATGAAAGGGAATAACCAATTTCTGAGTTTAAAGTGGATTGCGACTTTAATTTCCTTTTGCACTTGCTTATGGAGTTCTGCCTGCGCTGCCCATCACTGGTTTATACGGATTACTCATACCCCATCATGGTTAAACGAGTATTTGCATGTGTTGAAGCAAGTTATGGCATTACTCATACGCCCTGTTGACTTGAGTATGTGCTTAAATAGCTTTGCGTGTAGGGTAAGGCTTCCTCAAGTGGGCCCCGAATTTACCAAGATTAATATTTTCCAATGATATTCACGCAGCGCCGCGATTTGTAGGCGAAAAGTACACTGTGTAAATTTAGATGCCAAATTCTAAATAATTTTTTTTTTTGATAAACAATTGAAATATTTTGCAGTGTTTTGAAAATTTTTATTTTTCTTTGAAAGTAAGTGTCCGAATGAAAATTTTTTTTTTGGGTGCTGATTTAAAAAACATTAAACTATACAAGGAAAATATTTGCGTTACAAAAATATTTTGTTTTTGCTTTTCAATAATTTTTTTATGAGCAATTAAACTTTTAAGCAATTTCTGCGCCTCGTGGACGAAAATTTTTAACAACAACATCTGTAACATGATAAAAACATAGCAAGGTAGAACCGTTCTCTCAATTTGTCGGCCATAATTTTGTTTTGAAGTTTGCCAACATTTTAAAATCATATAAAAGTGAAAATAAAAAAATGAAATTGTTCGAAATTGTTGTTGCTTGAGATTGAAAATGAAAATGTGTGCGTGAGTTTGTGAGTAAATTTAAACGTTAAATTGTTTGGAAACGTCAAGAATTTTAAAAGTGACTCTCAGCGGTTCTACCTTACTATATTTTTATCATGATCGGTAATAAACATTTCTGCATTTATCTACGAACAAATGGAAATGGTCGGAATGAATTTTTATTTGCCAGCGTGCGCGCCGTGGAAAGTACTACGCTGAAGTTGATCACGTTCCGTTATTCAATTGTTAATGTTTTCCTACTAAGTCGTATATGGCGTATGAGTAATACTAGTATTTCCTTCTAATCCTTAAAACTAAAAAAAATATAAAAAATGCAAAAGTGAGTTTGGTTGTTTGTACGCGTTTATCTGGGTTAAAAAACTGCGGCGGTGGACGAAATTTAGGTTTATTAGAAAAGGGGCGCACCAAAATAAATCTTTCTGCATATCCCCGGAAGGGTTTGTAGAAGAATGCTGTAACTTGATATGGAGTTACACATATCGTCGTTTAAAGTGCAAAACCACGTAACTGACATTTGCTGCCAAAAATTGGATTCGCTCATACAAGCTCTTGGCTCAATCCTTATCCATTCGTCCTGAAATATACTATCCAGAAATACGATTGCTTTATAAAATAGAGAACCATTTTGAAATATGAGTGATTTTACTCTCTAGAATATAATTTATGTAATCTGACATACGCGGTTTTGCATTATTTTGATACGCGGTTTTATACTTTAAACAACGATATCAGTTCTTTTCAATACACAGCGATAAAAATGTGGGTTATTGGGAAAGGTTGCGCGTCATGTGGCATGCATACTGAAACTTATAATTCATATATCTGGAAGGAGAGAGAATGAGAAAAGTCGGAGCTATTGTTATAGGCTCCGTGGTCGCACCCATAAAAGCATAACTTTAACATAATGTCAAACTATGAAAAAGCATCTTCGAAGTGCAGAGTGAGAGCGTATTCGAACGAAAAAGCCGCCAAACACATATCTATGTAAAGTGCGCATTCTTGCACGTATGAGGTGCTTTCGACAATAAGTCTTACGAAGAAATATCGACATCTATGATAAGAAAGGATACTCCCAGCCTTCTAACTGATTGGATCATAACTATGTTGAAATCCAGAACTTTAACAGCGGTACTAGAAGACAATAAGCAAGCAGTAACTGTCACCCGTAGCTGTCCTCAAGGGGGAGTCTTATCGTCCCCTACTATGGACACTGGTTGTTGACGAACTCCTTGAAAAGCTACCTGGCAATGGATTCAAGGCATATGGATATGTAGATGATCTATAGTAATCTACGTTGTTGGCTGGCATGAGGACACTATTTGCTCCAGATTGCAAGCTGCGATCAGACAACGGAATACTGGCGTGCTGCAAAGGGAATGCTAATAAACCCATTTACCAGAAGAAAGAAAGTCAACTGGACTAGACTCACCTTGGCAGGGATAAAAATTGAGTGCTCAGAAAAAGCTCAAAAGGAACTCAAATCTCTTGAATGCTACCGACAAGGCTACATGGATGTTTTATGCCTGCCAGAGACTCCATGGTAAAACTTGAAAATATGACCCAAACTAGCGTATTGGTCTTCCAGTACGTTCGTGAAACCCGTTACTGCTTACGTATGCGGCACTGTCCTTGTGGCCTCTGTCTTTTCTGCTTGAAAATGGGGCTGCCCAATGTAATCCGCATGAATAGTGGGGACCATTGGGGTCACTTGGAGGTTTTCAACCTATTTCTGAATGATCCCGCTATCAAGTTTCCAGATATCATGCTATCGAAATTATCCTTTGACCAGTCCTTCAAGGTCAGAATTTCTGAAAGAGACTGCTGCGAAACGGTAATACCTATGATACATAAAGGGTCACAAGTATGGTACACAGATGGATCGAAGATGGACGACGGAAGTACTGGGGCAGGCGTGCTTGGACCAACATTGCAGAAAAGTGTGCCAATGGGATCACACCCAACCATATTCCAGGCGGAATTCTTCAAAATCGAAGTCTGTCCGGAGATTGTCTCCGGAGAAGGACAAACGAGACCAGAATAAATATTATGTCGGGTAGACAAGCAGCACTAAAGGCCTTAGACTCATTGGGAACGACATTAAGGCTTGTGGATAGTTGTAAAACCCTTCTGAACAGCCTAGGCGCCCATAAGAGAGTGACGCTGTGGTGAGTGCCTGACTGTCTCGCAAAACGTGGAGCCAAAATGCACATGCATGGTCCCGATATCTAAAGGATAAACTGTAGGACTGATTAGGAGTTGAGAAGAATCTCAGATTTCCTACCCAATGGCGGAAGTCAAAAGGAATGAGAAAACACAGAAATTCAAACCTTCATCTAGGAGGAATTCCGAAAGACTCATTGTACTTAGCCGGGAGGATCTTACGTCTCTACAGGCTACCTGACGGGACACCGCAAGTTAAGGTAGCATTTAAATAAAATGGGTGTTTTTGTAGAGATGGACTGCAGGTTTTGTGAGCTGATGGAGGAAACCTGATAGCATATGCTTTGTGACTGCCCACGAATCACGAATCGTATACTGATACACCTTGGGGAACTATTATCTTCTCCATCCAAAATTTTGGAACACGGCAACGCACAATATGCTTTATATCTTAAGTAGCCAAAGCTTAGAGTGAATACAATTAGGGTTTAGCACAATAGATCTTCTTAGGTCGCAGCGCGAGTATGTCCGACATAATAATAATAATGTAGTTTGATTTCTGAGGTAACTATGAGTATTACCAAATCGTCAGTGTTCAAGGTTGAAGAGGAATTAAAGTTTTATAATGAAAAAATCTGCGCTGGGGACGACAAGTCTTTCCGCACGCAGGCGAAAAAGTATAAATGAGGGTAAAATGNAGCAATTTCTGCGCCTCGTGGACGAAAATTTTTAACAACAACATCTGTAATAAACATTTCTGCATTTATCTATGAACAAATGGAAATGGTCGGAATGAATTTTTATTTGCCAGCCTGCGCGCCGTGGAAAGTACTACGCTGAAGTTGATCACGTTCCGTTAATCAATTGTTAATGTTTTCCTACTAAGTCGTACATGGCGCATGAGCGTAAAAAAAAAAATAAATAAAAAAATGCAAAAGTGAGTTTGGTTGTTTGTACGCGTTTATCTGGGTTAAAAAACTGCGACGGTGGACGAAATTTAGGTTTATTAGAAAAGGGGCGCACCAAAATAAATCTTTCTGCATATCTCCGGAAGGGTTTGTAGAAGAATGCTGTAACTTGATATGGAGTTACGCATATCGTCGTTCAAAGATAACCGCATATCGTCATTCTGCAAAACCGCGTAACTGACATTTGCTGCCAAAAATTGGATTCGCTCTTGGCTCAATCCTTATCCATTCGTCCTGAAATATACTATACAGAAATACGATTGCTTTATAAAATAGAGAACCATTTTGAAATATGAGTGATTTTACTCTCTAGAATATAATTTATGTAATCTGACATACGCGGTTTTGCATTATTTTGATACGCGGTTTTATACTTTAAAGAACGATATAATTTCTTTTCAATACACAGCGATAAAAATGTGCGTTATTGGGAAAAGAAGCGCGTCATGTGGCATGCATACTGAAACTTATAATTCATATATCTGGAAGGAGGGAGAATGAGAAAAGTCGGAGTTATTGTTATAGGTTCCGTGGTCCCACCCATAAAAGCATAACTTTCAGACGGAAATTCTCTGGAAGTATTTTAATTTTGAAGCATTAAGAATTGGTATTTATCAATGTCAAACTATGAAAAAGCATCTTCGAAGTGCAGAGTGAGAGCGTATTTGAATGAAAAAGCCGCCAAACACATATCTATGTAAAGTCCCCTTTTCGATAGTTCCGAACCAGTTTTAAATTCGCCACTTTAGATATAGGTTTGTAATGAATAAAGTGAAATAAAATAGTTATTTAAAAGTACTACATTTCACTGATTTTGAACTGGTGGGTATCTAGTTACTATCGGACTGGCCCGTTTTTGGAGATAAAAATCTAGTATAGGGCTATAAGTATATTGTGGCTGTCCTCAAGGGGGAGTCTTATCGCCCCTTACTATGGACACTGGTTGTTGACGAATTCCTTGATAAGCTAACTGGCAATGGATTCAAGGCATATGGATATGTAGATGACCTAGTAATCTACGTTGTTGGCTGTCATGAGGACACTATTTGCTCCAGATTGCAAGCTGCGCTCAGACAACGGAATACTGAATACTGGTGAGTGCCTGACTGTCTCGCAAAACGTGGAGCCAAAATGCACATGCATGGTCCCGACCCTCTCTGCGGGATATCTAAAGGATAAACTGTAGGACTGATTAGGAGTTGAGAAGAATCTCAGATTTCCTACCCAATGGCGGAAGTCAAAAGGAATGAGACAACAAAGAAATTCAAACCTTCTTCTAGGAGGAACTCCGAAAGACTCATTGTACTTAGCCGGGAGGATCTTACGTCTCTTACAGGCTACCTGACGGGACACCGCAAGTTAAGGTAGCATTTAAATAAAATGGGTGTTTTTGTTGAGATGGACTGCAGGGTTTGTGAGCTGATGGAGGATGCTTTGTAACTGCCCACGTATCACGAATCGTATACTGATACACCTTGGGGAACTATTATCTTCTCCATCCAAAATTTTGGAACACGGCAACGCACAACGTGCTTGATTTCTTAAATAGCCTAAGCTTAGAGTCAATACAATTACACACAGGCGAAAAAGTATAAATGAGGGTAAAATTAAGATGCTAAAACATTTAAAAAATTCAAATTTCCTGTGGATCAATTCAATTCTGTAATTATATCATATTTAACCTAATATTCCACATTAGTAGTTTCAACTCACCTTTTAGCACATCCGGGCATTGTCCATTAACCGGCGCCGAATCATCACCGCACAGACATCGCTGCTTGTAGTCGTTGGGATCCTTAACACAGCTGGTCTTATCTATCGTTACACATTCCTCATGAGTATTGCACTCCTTGCCTTTGACTGTACGTTTGGAGGATTTTTCGAAAAAAGAGAGAGAAAATTTATATTTGATTACCATATTTTTTATTTATATAGATAAATATAAACACAATAAATATTATTCGGTTCGTACTATGTGTATATATGTATTTATGTGTATAGATGCATGCAATTTGTATTTAACTAAATATGCNTCTGTAATTATATCATATTTAACCTAATATTCCACATTAGTAGTTTCAACTCACCTTTTAGCACATCCGGGCATTGTCCATTAACCGGCGCCGAATCATCACCGCACAGACATCGGTGCTTGTAGTCGTTGGGATCCTTAACACAGCTGGTCTTATCTATCGTTACACATTCCTCATGAGTATTGCACTCCTTGCCTTTGACTGTATATTTGGAGGATTTTTCGAAAAAAGAGAGAGAAAATGTATATTTAGTGATTGATTTGATATATAGATAAATATAAAAACAATAAATATTATTCGGTTCGTACTATGTGTATATATGTATTTATGTGTATAGATGCATGCAATTTGTACTTAACTAAATATGTAGTTGGTTTGATCAAATTTTGCGTAACGATTTCGCTTCGACAATGGCATGATATTGCTTAGATTCTATTGGTTTTGCATGCAAATTTCAAGGTTAATGCCTTACAAAATGAACCTGTCACTCACCTTACCGTTATTTTTCTTTTTTGCCCTTCTTGTTTTTGCCTTACATATTAGGCACTCAATGCACAAGCAACTAATGCAGTCAATACAACCAATATTGTATACAATGTTTCATCGAAATTTAAGCGTAAAATTTTGTGTATTGCCATAAAAAAAAAATTAGCATTAGTCACGAACGCTCTGAGCTGCTTACCGCGGCTGATGTAGTCGTATCGAAAAGTAAGAGGAGGCATAATTTTCGCTTCAAAAGCGACACGAGCAGGATTTAATTTCTAATTTAACTACCTTTACTGGGCATTAATCAATAATCGTTTCTCTACTTTAACTAGAACTGACTACTTGGCATATTTATTGCTTAGAAATTACTTTTGAAATCCCTTTTTAGCTCATTAATATTCATATTTGCTTATTGCTGGGGCCGTAAATATGATGTTTATGTTGTTTTTGTTTCGACATCCCACGCGGCATTTTCAAACTGTCGTTAAAGAAGAAACCGGTTAAAAGTTTGGTCGTAATTTTTTTTGTAATTAAGTTAGCGGGGTATTCCACTGTCACGGTTGGGACATTTCTATGGCAAAAATGTACTTTCTTTTTTAAATTCGAGTATAAAGAACTCAACAATTCTACATTTTGATAAATCTACCTCTAATTCACTTTTTTTTGCGGTATTATCAAATACGAAAAAAAATCCAGCTTACATTTATGCAGGACAAAATCTGAGTTATTTCTTTTGTCACGGGTGGAACAAAAAAGAACCTGCTTTTTGGAGCAGATATATTTTATGAAAACCCGGCAAATTTATTTCACTTTTCTGTTTGAACATGATGACTTCCAATAAAAAAAAGAGCTACAACAAAGCAAAAACTTACACAAAAATTATTGCTCTAGTATTAACAAAAAAAATCCGAAATTCCTCTGTCACGGGTGGGACAAGTAAGAATTTTTATATAAAAAGGAGTTTTTAGTGTGGTTCATATTGAAGATTATTTATTAAAAAATATAAGACCCCAAGTAGAGGTTCAATTCACTCACGTTTTATCTGAGGATAGTGCATTTTATATGGAAGAAAATGCCTAGCACTGTCAGCCAAAAAAAATTTAAAAAAACCAAGGCGATTTCCTGGCGTCTTAAGATTGTCACTTTTTCCTACTTACAGTATACTTAGAATTTTTCTAAAAATTTTGATTAAAAAGTTTAAAATTTTTGGGTGTTAAAAGTTGCTGAATTTTTATAAATTTTGTCCGAACTTTGAAATGTGGACTTATTTGGTGGTGGTGGTTAAGTCATATGTTAGAGTTTTATAAAAAAAGTTATGGGAGGCTCCATGAGAAAGTGAACCTAAATTTAAAAATTCACTAAAAGTGTTGAACTCAAAATAACCCTAAAATATACATACATTTGGTCAATAATAGAGAGCCAACTTAAAAAATCCAAATTTCAGTCTCAATATACGTTTAAAATGCAAGATCCCTAAAACGTATTTCTTCCGTGCACATTTTAAAAGCATTGATAACAACGGAAAACTCTTGCAGTGCACAAAGATGCGGTAAACAATTTTTCACATTTTCTGAAAAATGCGTTTCTTTTTTAGTTGGTCGCACTTTAGGATATAGACTATATTTTTTATATATATATTTTGAAACAAGGCAACCCCAAATAATGAACGGGTGCAAAAGTGTGCAGTCGCTTGGCAAAAAATTATTAACTTGGGCTACGTACTGCTACACAATTCAGAATACGTTACCGATGCAGCACGACCCGACTAATTTCTATTTCCAATTAGGCAACTTTTCTTCTTCTTATTTAATGCTTATTAATTTTTTATAAAATTATAGCTTACTATCCAATAATCTTATATATAAATAGGCAATCATGTTTCCTTTACACCCCTTTTACGGCTAAACTATACTTCTAAGGTATAAACAATTACATATCATAAGAAAGGTATTTTGATGTTCATGTGCAGGTAATTTAAAATTTTAAATTAGTTTAACATAAAGGGAAAAAATAAATTCAAAAGTGACACCAATACCAATGCCATACATGTACATGGTTGGGCCGGAAATGCCTCCTAAATGTATGCTTTAATATTGATACCGATAATGATGAATTATAGAAACGTGCTACGCAGCAGTAAAGGAATAAGATGTATGTATGTATGTTCATGAATAGAAAGGGATAAATGCAGAGATTAAAATAAAAGTAAAGGAACCTAAACATAAAGAGAAGGTAAATTTAAATACTAAATATAATAGCAAAGGTGTGGATGAACATATAGATAAAGAAAAGAATACAGATAAAGATGTAAATTAAAGTCAAGGAAGTGATAAAAATTAAAATGAAATGATAAAAAAACGGCAGCGACAAAGATAGAGATAATGGTAGAGTATTGTTTTGTTATGTTATGTTATCTTATGTTATGTTATGCTATGTTGAGTTATGTTATGTTGTGTTGTGCTGTATTGTATTGTGTTCTGTTGTGTTGTTATGTTGCGTTATGTTATGTTATGTTATGTTATGTTATGTTATATTATGTTATATTATGTTATATTCTTTTATGTTGTTCAAGGTATTTCAGCTCAATTCACTTCAATCAACTCAAATAAACTCAACTCGGTTCAGCTCAGCCCACCTCAACTCCCCTTAATTTAAAAGGTTGAATTTCAACCGCTGGGCGAACACTAGTATAAAATTTCCAAAAGTCAAAGGTATTTGGTAGCCACATCAAAATCGTACTTTATTCTATTAAAATTTTATGAGCTACATAGCTGTACATTGATTAAAAAGTTTAAAATTTTTATGAAACTTTTTTCGATTTTTTTTTATTTTGTTGACACCAATGAATAACCTTTCGTGCTTCTATTAATACCTGGTGAGCCTCCTGGGGATTGGCGTCGTCCCATCTAGGACAAACTTGCTTGCCAATAATTCAACGTTCCCACTAACGAGCCCTCATATTAATAACCTAAGTCATATAATTTCGTGTAACTTATCGTGGTGATTTGGCATCAATGACTGAGTATGTAACAAACAACAGGTTTGACAGATTCCGCTCAAACACATACATATGTACGCCATAGGCTGGCATGTCAAGCGAAAACTTTTATCTATAGCGGACATCTTGTAATAATAAACAAAAGTTAATAAATCACATGTGACTTTTCTGTCTGTCGAAAATTAGCATAGACTAAGTACTTTAGTGCGTGTACATTTAATTACTCAGTTCAACTTTGGGGCTGACAAAAACAGGAAACAAAAGAGTAACAAGTTCGTATGTACCTACATAACTACCCAGTAGAAATCGGTTGTATGCGTTCACTTGTAATATATTTATGTGTATTATTAAACTACTGGTGAACCCGCATGGCGTTAAAACGCCCAAAACTTAGTTTAAATATTTTAAAAATACATCCAAATGTTAGTCGGAGTTATAAGAGATCCGAGTGCCAGTGAATGGCATAGTACATGTTTTTAGTTTCATCAAATTTCAAATCACCCTATACCGACGAAAAAAGTTCTTAATTAAAAAAAAAAAATAAAAACTTTACTACTCATCTACAGGTAAAGTCTTTAATTTTCTCTTTTAAACACGTAGCAAACTTATTCAAACATTCCAAATTTTTAAACTAAAGACTTCTTAACAGTCTTTCGTTTGACTACGGTATTTTTGTATTTCATATACGCTTTGTATTAGTTAATTTAGTTAGGACTTTCAAACAGGTGGCAGCCCTCTTCAAATTTATTTTCAAGCTAAATCCTTGTTAACTCTCCTTCGCCTGACATTACGATATATATTTTAATTAAGTGATGAATTTAGTGGAATCTGATTTTTTAAACATGTGGCAACCCCGCTAAGTACAGTTCAGAAAAACAAATTTCAACCCCCTTCGACTAATACCCATATTTTAATAATTCATTAAACTAATTAATTAATTTGAATTTAACTTTATAAACAGGTGGCAACCCTCTTTCAACACCTCAAAAATATTCTGACGATTTCTTAACACTTCTTCGTTCGACATCCATATTTTGATGTTTCATACAACTTGTGTATAAGTAAGCACGTGGCAACCCTCTTCAAAATATTTTCAAACTACTACTTTCTACTTAGAACCCCTTTCATTTGGTATCCATATGGAAAGCCAAGGTAATTACGCACATGACCTCAACTGATTTTCTCTGACAAATAGTTTATTAACTGCAAACAATTACTTCCCCGTAAGTTCAAAATTTCGGGAATTTTTTTTTCGAGATTTTCGAATATCATGACGAAATAAAATAATAGGTGTCTTATTTTTTTCGATAAAGGATGTAAAAATATATATTTCACACCAAAAAAATATGGAGGTGTAAATATTGTATGGAATGGCCCATATAGATGTAGATATCATTCATACGAGCGTTTTGATATACTGTTATGAAAGTATGTACCCAGCAGCGAATGGAATGCATTCCGCATCGATGCCTCACTGACGACCAGTAATGGCATCCGATTCCGCTCTCGATTATTTGTCTATTGAAGAATGCATTACATTTAACATTGCGTGACTTTGGCGGTAAGGTGCGAGGGCTTCTGTTGCATTACTTTTCATCAACGCAGAAATGTCGCTCTTTCTGCATTACCTCTAGCATAGCATTACGCTAAAAGTAATGCAGAATGTTTTAAAGAGTAATGCGGCAATTAAGCAGCTTGTGCATATAAAATAAGAGTT